ATTTCACAGTATCAAAGTGAAATTCAATCACTAACTTCCATATAGTCACAATTATTCAGATAAATTACAGAAGTTGCCAAAAAAAAGTTCTAATCATTACTGTGCATATAAATTTCTCTGTGCGTATGTGTTATATCGCTGGGGTCAAAAATTATCAGTGTCAACAGCAAAAATTGATTAACAAAATCTTTAAAAAAAAAGAAAGAATAGTTTTTGAAATTTAAAATCGCCTCTATAGTACAATTAAAAAGTAAGTCATAAACTACACAAATTACACACAAACAAAAAAAATAAAAAAAAAAACAAAGAGGTAACAAATTAGTTTTAGAAGAATGTCAAACCAAGCGAAGAACCAAGATATCGCAAAAAAAAATAAAAAAAAGTAAAAATTCAAGTTTTCTGCAGTATAGAAGAGAGAGAAAAAAGCAAAAAGTGCTGAAATGATTAAGCGATTGTCCGAAACACAGAGCAACCAAGACTGCTCAAAACTTTTCAGATCAAACAGCCAAGTTAATGAAGACCCTCTCACAACAACCACAACCAAAATGCAGAACATAGTTCCATCAAATTTTTTGAGTTCTATTTAAAAAAACCAAAAAATAAAAGGAAATCTTAGTCGAAACCTAAAAAACTTTTAAGTCACTGAAAATTACACATTAAATAAAGCATCAAATGAAAAAAAATTTCAGAATGGAAAAAAGACAACAAAGGAATTATATCATAATTACAATAAGCAATTTAAAAGTTCCACTCATATAAAATGTCTCATTTTCAGCATTCTGAAACCACTTTCGTAGCCGTATGCACGAAACCCAAGTGATTGCATGTACTGCTGCTTTCTGCAGCAGTGTTGCAGTACTGGCATGCATTCTCTTCATACCATCAATGTATAGCACCATCAGTCAGGTTACTCCTATCTTACTGTATTTAAATTTGAAGTTTATATTTTGAGAGATTCTTTAGGCACAAAAGCTATAATCTTTGAAGTTAAAAGAAAAAAATAAAACATACTTTTCTAAATACCAGCCTTCTGTTACTGCCGCAGTTTTTAAAACATGATTAATGATTATTTTATCTAACGATTATCTTTTCTATGTGCTACTAAGTTTTCAGCTTCATGACAGAGTACTAGATGGTGTTCAAACATTCCGAGTAGAGACTGATTCCGCATGGACAAAAATGATGGAAATACAAGTCAAAGTGCTACCTGAAAGCAAACCGTACAGCAATCCCTTCCAAACATTCGTTCGTCAGAAACGGGAATTAGGACTTCCATCGTTTTGTATCTGTCAACCGAAAAGAGAGTGCCCACCAGGCCCTACTGGGCCACAAGGAGATCCGGGACCAGATGGACGTAAGCTAATTCATCTAATAGAATTATTAATAACCAAAATCAAAAGTTGAAATTTATCTCACAACAGAAGTACTAATAAATTATTCCCAGCTTCTGGACCGCCAGGACCACCAGGACTGGACAACAAAGAGATGGGGGAGTCACTGGACTGTACTGTCGATACTAGTGTCTGCATTAAATGTCCTGAAGGACCAATGGGACCAGTTGGTCCAGATGGAGAAATGGGACCGCCAGGGCCAGATGGTCTTCCGGGACCTGAAGGTCTCCCGGGCAAAGACGGGCCGAGGGGACCAGACGGGCCATTCGGACCACCAGGTATTCAAGGACCTCCAGGAAGACCAGGGCTTCCTGGGCTTCCAGGACGTGAAGGTATTCGTACGGTTGGTATTAAAGGACCTAAAGGAATAAGGGGACCTCCAGGACCCTC